TTTTCCTTTTCAATTAGATATTTCTCTTGTAAAATTAATTAAGGTACACTAGGTAAATGTGAAAATACAGAAACGTGAATAGAGGAAAATCACAGTTTCATCCCACCACCCAGAGAAGGTCCTGTAAAACTGCGTTTAATTTCCTATGGGGAAAACATTGCTAGATGTACTATGTGAAGTCCTGCGTTGACAAGCATGGCATTCTGTGATTTGGGAAAGTGGGGCACACCCCACTGTACTAGGCAGAAACCCTTTGAATTGTCTCATGTCCATTTTTTTTCACATAATTTTCAACCATCATGTGAAATTTTTTCACATTGCTAGTTGGCAAAATGTTTTCTTTAAAATTTTTTTTGTAATAAAATACATATTCATTCTAGATTAATCAGAAAAGTTAGAAAAGAAGATAAAAGAATCCACTGCGCCAAGTCACCCAGAGACAGCTTTGCTGTGGCCCATGGTTTATAGATCCTGGGGCAGGAGAGAAGATCAGAGGAACCTGTCCATCAGGGGGTGCAGGGCTTCCCTCACTCACTGCACTGGGCAGGTATGACCTGCCTGAATAGAAAGTCCATCACTGTTCTCTTTCCCTCTGTCTAAGCTAAACCACTGTGGTTCTAGATCCTTCCAGGACCATCTGCTATCTTTGCGGTAAACCGTGGAGACTGTCTTGCCTGAATTCCCAGAGATGGGGAAAGTGTTTCATTTAGTCTTTTTTCTGGGTGTGCCCGTTCTCCCTGTGGCCCAGCTAGAGGGCAGGTCTTTGAAGCTCCAGGTCCTGGCAGCTATGGAGGTTGAATCCTGTTGGTTCAGGGAGGTGGGACTCTTCTGCCAACCTATGTCTGCTAACATCACTGGGGATTTTGACAGTCTCAGCTCCCCACCTTAGAATGACACATGGAGGGCGCTTTCTGCTGCTCTGCAGATGTGTAATCTCAAAGTCCAGGTCTTCACCCTGTGTGGATCTTGGTGCTCCCCTCTGCCAGCCGAGTTGCCTGAGGCAGTTCTGGCAGCTGTGAGGACTGAGCTCCGATGAGGTCTGGGAGTAAGCACACCTAACACACACAGCCTGCTAAATTAGTGGGGTTCAGCTGGCTTGACATGAACTGGGGTTCATGTCTGACGCCTATGGGAGTTTCCTTGGGCCCTGAGGCACTCTCCCTAAGCCTTGTAACTCATGATGCAGTGCTCCAGAACACCTGACTGCTGGGTGTAGCGGAGTTCCCCTTCCCTTTTCCTACTCCTGCCACACTGGGAGAGACATGAGGCAGAGTGCTGGTCTCTGGGTTTAATGGGATTCCCAACATCCCATTCCAATCTGCTCTATCTGCAGTGCTCATATTCTTCAAGTGTCAAAGGGCAAAGGAAGCCTTTTTGTTTTTTCTTGGCGGGGAGTGGGGGAGTCAGGCTGTGCCAGGGCTTACTCCTGTGACTGTGCTCAGAGATTACTCCTGACAGGGTTTAGAGAACCATATGTGGTCCACTGAGTGTAAGGCAAGTCCCCGAAGAGATACTCTCTAAATGAATAAAAACCAGTTCCTCCCTCAAGCCCCATCAGGAAAGGATTTAATGAGGATGAGTCTGCAGTGCCTGTTCTGGGCCCCAGAAGTCCCAAGGGGGTGGGCCCACAACCTTTGACCCCAGACCTGGCGCCTTACTGTCTGTCCAGCCTTTTAGCCAATGGTGGTGCCAATGCCTGACTAGAGGCCACTATGGAGGGCAGGCCAGGCAGTAGGTGGTCAGCAGGACTGGGGCTCTTCTGGTGCTGGGTTCTGGCCTTCCTGGGGGATCCCAAGGGCCTTGTGCAGGGCACCCAGGTCAGCAGAACCCACGGCACAGGTCACTCATAGTACAGCAGCTCTATTTCCATCCTGCAGGTTTGGGCCAGTGACTAGGGCTCTTATCTTGCATGCACCTATCTGAGTTCCATTTCTGGCACCTCAGATGGTCCCCAGATCCTTCAAGGAGTGACTCTTGAGTGCAGAAAGAAGAGCAAACCCTGAGCAAAGTTGGGTGTGCTCCAAAAAACACCTTCCTCCTGCTTCACTTCCAAGTGCAGCCTGATAGACAGTGGAAACCGGACATCCTGCTGCCCCTGCACCCATCTCCCTAGATAGGAGCCAGGTAAATGAGGATTGGGCTTAGATCTTAAAGACAGGACCCTTTGTTTTGAACTGACTAATCTTGCATGTGTAACTTGGCCCTGTGGGATACACAGATGGGCCTTGAGGATATGATGCTAAAAGAAGAGAGGTCAGGAATTGAAGAAAATTATTAGATAGTCCCATCAATGGAATATGAATCACTCAGACTGGCTCAAAGCAACCAAATTAACTCCTAGGCTCTGTGAAAACTCTGGTGACTATTGGAGTCAAAGGAGAAGAAAAAGGAGAGTAGATGTGTCATCTTGGACGTGGAACTTTGGTGTGGTCTCACACACACACACACACACACACATACACACAGAAACATAGAGACAGAAAAAGAGTACACTGTAGCATTGAATGTGATGGTCTTACAAACCAATGACTAATCAATGAAAGCAACTGATTGCTATTGACAGAGAAGCAGCACAGGGCGCTCCCTACACGAGGCACTCGCCCTGCATGCCTCCAGTCCCAGATCACCCTCAGTGCCGCATGGTCTCCTGAGCACAGAGAGCTCCTCAGATCTATCTCCAGCACTGAGAGCTCCTCAGATCTATCCCCAGCACCACGGAAAGTCTCCTGAACCACCAAGAGTGACACCTGAGCATAGAGAGCACAGAGTCAGGAGTAAGCCTTCCTGGTTGTGGTCCCATAGTCTTCTCCAAAACAAAAATATTGTTGCGTTAATGAATCACCTGATCAGAGACATGTGACTAATTATTCATGTCCTGTTGATAATGGTGGGGCCAGAATAGCTTCAACAGATTCAAATGTTGTTTTCCTCTGAGCAGTTCTCAGGTAAGCTTATTCAAATGCAGACTGCAAGGCCTGGGACTGGCTCAACAGGCTGAGTGCATGGTCTGCTTACAGAAACTCTGGTCTTGACTGCTCTGCATAGTCCCTGAACACTGAGCCAGGAAAAGTCATTGAGTGCTGCCAAGTGTGGCCTCCCACAGATTATGCAATTCATTCCTTATTAAATGAAGTAACAACTCTGAGGATATGGCTGGGCAGATATTTTTGTTTGGGAATCACACCCAATGAAGCTCAGGGCTTACTCCTGGCTCCCTGGGTAGGGGTCACTCCTGGTGATACTTAGGGGTCATGTATGTTCAGGGGATTTGAACCATGTTGTCTGTATGCAAGATAATTGCCTACCAACTGTACTATCTCTCTCCAGTAGAACACCTATTTAACCGCTCGCCGAGGAATATAAACTGGGGTATATTTGATAGAGACTGTGATGGCAACTTGGGGTGAATGGCCTTAAAATATTTCCTCATCTCCGTTCTCTTTTGCTCAGGTTTCTTCCTAGTGTTCCAGTTTTTAAGAAATATCATTGTATCACTGTCATCCTGTTGTTCGTCGATTTACTGGAGTGGGTGACAGTAACGTCTTTATTCCTCCAGCCCTGAGATTTTAGTAGACTCTCCTTACTCGTCTTTCCCAATGGTTGGAGGCTCTTTCAGGGTCAGAGGAATGAGACCTGTTATTGTTACTGGTTTCGGCATATCGAATATGCCACAGGGAGCTTGCCAGGCTCTGTCCATGCGGGCTGGATACTCTCAGTAGCTTGCCGGGCTCTCTGAGAGGAATATACATATTATATGTGTGTGTTTATATATATATATATACATATATATATATATATATCTAGGATTTGTTGCCTACTGTCTGAACTCCATCAAACACGGTGTGATAATTATGGAAAATGGGTAGGAAGTGTCTTATGTGTTCGGAAAGCGACCTGGAGTGTGGCGGCAGTTGGGTAGTGGAGGTCGGCTGCCGGGGCTGGGTCCCTTACAGTCGGGAGGGCTCTCACTCGATCCCCTCTGGGTTGCCCTGAGTGAAAACAGCCTGGTGCAGAGTCCAGTTTTAAGAAATAATCTCTGAAATCAAATTTAGTCTTTCTTAAGTATTTCTTTCCTTACCTCCTGTGTCAACTATAATGTTAATTGTTCCATGCCTGCAGAAGCCTGGTGCTGAAAAGTGAATAGACGGCAGGATCTCCTAATTCAAATGCTTGTATTTAGCAAAAAATAAAACCCAACAAAACTCTTCCCTTTGTCCCCCCTGTCACCATAAACAAAATGACACATGCTTGGTGGTGGGGCTCGCTGAGGCAGCACTCATTTAACTGTAGTGCTCACCACATCTGGGTTTTGGTTCAGCTACAGGACTCACACTTGGTTATACACCACAGGTGCAAGTTTTGTTGGGGCAATAAGGACTGTGCTCAGTGCACATGGATAGCATCAGGGTCCAAACTCAGGGTCTCATGCTTGCAAAGCAGGCAATTTTTAGCTATGGAGGTGATTTTCATATTTATTTTTATTTATTTTATTTAAGTCACTGTGAGATAGAGTTACAAAGCAGATCATGGTCAGCTTTCAGTCACGCAGTGTTCCAACACCAGTCCCTCCACCAGCACACGTTTCCCAGCACCAATGTCTCCAGCTTTTCTCTCACCACCCTTCCCCCCATCTGTCTCTATGACAGGCAGGTTCCTTCTTTTTTTGTCTCTCTCTTTCTCTTTCTCTCTCTCTCTCTCTCTCTCTCTCTCTCTCTCTCTCTCTCTCTCTCTCTCTCTCTCTGTCTCCTTCTCTACAAAGGTGATTTTTAGCCCTAGTCAAAGTCCACTGGGTGTCCTTGCCCTGATCCAGGTGAGCCTGACCAGCCCTTTCATTACCCTGTCTAGTCACTATTTCTAATCCACAGGTTTTACATCTAAGAGAATCCATTATTCTGGGTGGTGAGTATTCTAGATAATTCTAGATATGGTAAAGCAGTTAGATCAGAGTGAAGAAGCCTACATCATCTCCGTGGTCTACATCACCTCTATTTCCTTTCTAGTCTTGGGTCCTACAGAAATCGCACTCACTGTCATCATGACCTTGATGGCCCTGAGTTCTGTGGTCATATACACGGAGGACGCAATCTACCTGTACAAGAACACCCGGTGCCCCATCAAGAGGAGGACCCTGCTCTGGAGCAGCTCTGCACCCACGGTGAGGGCCCTGGGCCGCCCTGGGAGGGAGGGGTCCATTTGGAGAATTCCTCTAAATTCAGCACTCAAGTCAGGGAAGTGCCACCTATGTGACTGCTTCAGGTCAATTTACCCTCAGGGGTAAATTGCACAAAGGCCAAGGAACAGTGGGGAGGGTGCTTAGAGTTCTAGATACTCAGTAGCGTACCTGTTCATCCCTCTACTCCCCCCACCTTTGGCTTTACTCATCAGTCCTGCTTCTCAGAATGTAGAAAGGAGAATTGTTTGCCCCACACACAGGGTTATATCCAGTTCTACCCTTACGGCTGGGGTCTGTGCTTAACAGTCACTCCTGGCACATACGGGGGACTATACAGTGCAGAGCTAGGGATCAAACAGGGTCTGCTGCATTCAAGGCATGTGGCTTACACCTTACACTATCTCTCTAGACCTAGAATATAGGTCTTGTAAACTCATTCCTGAAGTCTTTGACTTACTCCCTGGCTGAAGACTAGCCTTTTCTTCCTTGTGTTCTGTGTGACTGATGACACCCATGCTGGATGGACAGGATGAATCCTGACAGATGGGTCATCTCAAGTCATTGGCAATTCTCTAACAAACACTGTTGAAAAGGGAACACTGAAGATAATTGCAAGATTGAAACTGAGCAGGGAACTAGTATCTTACAGTCTGTCCAAAGTCAAAAACTACACATTGAATCAAAAGGTTGTAAAGTGATCTGCCCCAGAACAGTTAACAGACATTTATATATTCATGTATCAGAAGGAAGTGTGACATAACAATGTGTGCAGCACCACTGTAGGCTAGGATCAATACTCAGGAGCTGCCATTTCACCACCACCCCCCAGGTTAGGACCCCTGCAAAGTGCCATCCAGTTTGACTCCACCCTGAAAATACAGCCACATGTTACTTTACTTTGTATCTCATACTGAGCACACATTAACATCCTAACTCTAGTCACCTCACCACACAGTAGCATACAAGAAACACCTCCAGACTGCAAAAGTCACAATGGGAAAGCAACACAGAACTCCACACGCTTAGTGAGAGGAGATGGTATCCCTGAAGACTCAACTAGTAACAACCAGATATATAACCACCCTGATAAAGACCTTAGAGAGGAAATGGTGAGGGTGTGTAAGGATCTCAAAGAAAAAATAGAACACAAGAGGATATGAGGGCAGAAATGAGAAAACTACAAGCAACAATGACAGAACTAGAGTTCGGTAGATGAAATGAAAAGCTCACTGGAAGGCCTCAGCAGCAGAGGAACAGTAGCTGAGGGCAGAACCAGTGAGCTCAAAGAGGAGATGCAAAAAACCTCCAGACAGCAGAAGAATATTTTAAAAAACCTCAAAATAATGAACATCAGATAAGAACTCTGAGATGAATTCAAAAGGGCTAACATAAAATGGGTATATTGTCAGTTAATTTTCGATATAGAGCAAAAAAAAATGAAGTAGAGCAAGGAGCAAGGAAAGTCTCTTCAATAAGAGGAGTTAGGAAAACTATGTGGTTGGCCACATTTAAAAAAAATAAAACAAACCAACTCAGACCTCTTTCCAATGTCATATACAAAAATCAAGCCAAAGATAAAAGACCTCAATATAAAGTTAAAAATAATCTGACCTATAAGAGGGAAATAGGCAGAATGCTCCATGACACTGAAAATAAGGTCATCTTTAAGGATGACAAAGTGCCACTGACCAGGCAAGTGGAAATAAAGATAAACAAATAGTACTGCATTAAATTGAGAAGCTTCTGCACCTCAAAGAAAACAGTGGCCAAAGTACAAGACAGTCCACAGAATGGGAGGAATAATTTGCTCACCACTCGATAGCACAGCGGATTAGGCATTTGCCTTGCAAGCGGCCAATATGGCCGAACCGAGTTTGATTCCTCCACCCCCCTCAGAGAGCCCAGCAAGCTACCGAGAGTATCTTGCCCGCATGGCAAAGCCTGGCAAGCTACCCGTGACGTATTTGATATGCCAAACACAGTAACAACAAGTCTCACGATGGAGATGTTACTGGGCCCTCTAGAGCAAATCAATGAATAACGGGAGGACCGTGACTGTGACTCATCTGATCAGAGTTAATATCTAAGCTATATAAAACACAGGTTTAACTGCAAGAAAAACAAACCTAAGCCCGTCAAAAAATGGGTAGAAGAGATGAACTGAAACTTCTTCAAAGAAGAAATGTAAATGGTCAAAAGGTATATGAAAAAATGTTCTATATTGCTAACCACAGGGAAATGAAAAGACAGCAATGAGATATCATCTCACATCACAGAAACTGGCACTCATCAAAATGAACGTCTGGGCTTCACAGTGGTGATGGTGGGGGAGGGAGCATGGCAGTGAGTGGCACCCCACCCAGTCCTGTGGGAGGGGGGCTGCAGAGCACTGTTAGTGCAGTCGAGCTCTGGCAGTGCTGTGGAAGAGAGGTGAGGTGGAGTGGGGGAAAGGGTGAGGTGGGCCATGTGGAAGGGGGTGGTGCAGCTTGAAGGTGGCAGTGAAGTACCTGGGAGCCCCTCGGCTTGCAGGTGCCCTCTCACCTGGCCCCAGCTCCCCCTTCCTTGGGTGATCCAGCGGGGCTTCAGGCACGAAGACTGATACCTGGCAGTTGGTGCAAATGCTCAGACTCAATGAGGGCAGCCAATGTGATGATGGGGCACGACCATGTATCCCCCAGCTATGTGGAGCAGCTGAAGTGCATCTCTCTGCTTATTAGGGCTGAGATTAATGTAGGACCAGAGATGAGACACCTTTGGTGCTGCCACATAAGCTCATCTACCTGCTCTGTTCCAGACTCATAAATAACTCTTGAAAGAGATCAACAGCTCCCAAAAGTATTCAAACACTTGCTTATGGCTGAGACTTCTGGGGCATCCTGGAGGCAGGAGAGAGGGGGGTGTCAGCTCATTGCCAGGCCAAACAAAACCCTGGCAAACGCCGGCTTCCATATTCCAAAATCACTGCCATGCTTCTGGCTGAACTCTGTCATCTCGTGACTGAGTTCATTAAGTTCATTAAGAAGTTAACCAAAAATTTAGGTAAGTGAACCTCTGGACAAGAACTGAGTACTGAAAATAAGTAAAGGGACAAACATGATAACTTTTCAGTACCTGTACTGTGAACCATAATGCCCAAAAGTGAGGGGGCGGGGGGGGGGGAGAGAGAGAGAGAGAGAGAAAGAGAGAGAGAGAGAGAGAGAGAGAGAGAGAGAGAGAGAGAGAGAGAGAGAGAAATAATACCCCCTGGGGGGCAGGGGGTGGGTGGGAGGGAACCTGGGGACATTGGTGGTGGGAAATGTACATGGGTGAAGGAATGGGTTTTGGAATATTGTACAACTGAAGCACAATCATGAACAATTTTGCAATGGTGTTTCTCATGGTGATTCAATTAGAAAAAAAAAAGAACCATTGTGGATTCAGGGAAAAATGGACCCTCACTCATTGTTGGTAAGACTGCTGACTGGTCCAGCCTTTTAATTTTTTCTTTTTTTTTTTTTTTGGCTTTTTTTGGGTCATACCTGGCAATACACAGGGGTTACTCCTTGCTCTGCACTCAGGAATTACTCCTGACGGTGCTCAGGGGACCATATGGGATGCTGGGAATCGAACCCAGGTTGGATGTGTGCAAGGCAAACGCTCTACTCTCTGTACTATCATTCCAGCCCTTGGTCTAGGCTTTTTAGAAGACAATATGGGCACTCCTCAAAAAACTAGAAATTGAATTCCCATAAGATCCAGTAATTCTACTCCAGGGAATATAACCCCAAGGGCTCAAAAAAATAATGCAGAAAATAAATCTGCACTACTATGTTTATTGCAGCACTATTCACAGTAGTCAAAATTTGGAAACAACCCAAATGACTAAGAACAGTTGAGTAGATAAAGAAGCAACGGGATAGTATTTGACCATCATAAGAAAAAGATAAAGTCACGCAATTTGCTGATACGTGGATGAATCTGGAGAGTATCATGCTAAGTGAAATGCATCAGAGAAGAACAGACACAGAATGGTCTCACTCATCTGCAGAATATATATATATATATATATATATATATATATATATATATATGGGCTAGAGCGATAGCACAGCAGTAGGGCGTTTGCCTTGCATGCAGCCAACATGGCCGACCCGAGTTCGATTCCTCCGCCCCTCTCGGAGAGCCCGGCAAGCTACCGAGAGTATTCGATATGCCAGACACAGTAACAACAAAGTCTCCAATGGAGACATTACTGGGCCCGCTCGAGCAAAATCGACGAACAACGGGAAGGCCTTTACCTTTACCTTATATATATATAAACTATTGCCAGAAGGCAATAGAAGTGAAAATCAGAACTGGTTCTTAGTAGGAAACTTTGTGGGGAGGGGATGGAAGAGAGGTGAATTTCAGGTCAGGGAAGGGACCACGATGACAATGATATAGGGAAGTGGTCACTCTGGACCAGGACTAGGTGCTGAAAGAAGGTAAAGTTACATGAATAATACCCTATCCATAATAGTATGGTAAACCACAGTGCCTAATAGGGAGGGCAGGGACGAAAAAGAAAAAAATAGCGCCTGCCATAGAGGCAGACAGGGAGATGGAAGGGAAACTGGGGACATTGATAAGGGAAGGGGACACTGATGAAGGGATTGGTGTTGGAACCTTGTGTGCCTGGACTCAATCACGAATTACTTTGCAACATATTTCAAAGTGATGCAATTAAAAAAAAAATTTTAAAGCAAGCATTGTCTTGATCCACCAATTTCTTCCTCCTCTTTCACAGGGGTCTAGCAGGAGTCTTCATGAGTCACTGACTAAAGGGAACTTGCTGTCTCTAAGCCTAGAAACAGAAGAAATTGGCAGCTGATTTAAAATATAATCAAGGGGCTGGACAGATAGTACAGCTGGTAGGGTGCTTACTTTTCATGCCTACCAAGGTTCTAGCCATGGCCTGAGCCCCTGAGCCCTGCGAAAAGTGATCCCTGAGTGCAGAGTCAATAGTAAGCCCTGAGCACCAGTAGATGTGACCCCAAACAAAAATAAAATAGAGGAAAGATGGTAAAGCAGAGAGGCTTGCAGATGGTCAACCACAGTTCAATCCCTGAAACAATTATGGTCCCCTGAGTTCCAGCAGGAGTTATCCCTGAGCACAAACACCAAAACAAAAAGTAAAATAAAAATGTTTAACTCTATTTTTTTAAATATTTTTACAATTTATTAAAACAAAAAAGGTAGAGAATGGCTTTGCTTAAAAGATAAAATAGCATATACTTTGTATTCCTATCAAATTTATTTTTTCATTACAGTAACTCTTTTCTTTAAAATAAAAGGGGCCAGAGGTATACGCCTTGGATACACAGATCCCTAAATTGGATCCCCTGCACCAGTGGTTCCCTATTGGGTGCCAATAGGTGTGACTTTGGTGGCCCCACCAAGCACCAGCAGGGCCAAAAACTCATAAGAAGAAAAAAATTGCTAATTTTAATAAGTTGATATGATTAGTATCGATGCCTCTAATGCTTTAAGTTTTGTTGCCTTGAATTCTTGCAACAAGCTCAGAGCGATGACACAGTAAGTTTCCCTTTTTGCCCAGCTGATTTTCTCTCCGAGTAGGTCGTGTCTGTGTTCTGCTGCTTTGGTCTCTGGATCCCTCGTTCCCTTATGTTCGTGGAAATGGCCATAGTCTCGTGAGTATCTGGGCCTCCATTCTGGGGTCCCTTCAACTTGCCACTCAACCAGCTCTAAAGTGTCTCCTCTTAGCCCACCTCCCTCCCTCAATTCCTTCTCAACTCTCAAATTTCTGAGTCTCTCAGGCAAGCTTTGTTCCAGCGCCCCTCCTGCCAGCCCTCTCCCTACTTGCCTACCACTCACCCAGTGTGCCCTCGGCAATGCCTCTTCCTGCTTTCTTTCCTGTTTCCATTTCCCTGGAGGCAAAGGGGTAGGGCTCCCTTTTTTGTGTGTTTCAGTTCCTCCCCCCGCCCCATGCCCAGGTTTTACGGAGCTTGCTTTTATCTGCTGATGCTGGTCATGGTGGAAGGTTTCGGGGGCAAGGAAGCAGTGGTGAGGACACTGAAGGACACCCCCATGATGGTGCGGACAGGCCCCTGCTGCTGCTGCTGCTTCTGCTTACCGACACTCAGCCTCACCAGGTAAGAGAGAGGAAGAGGCCCAACAGGACCTGCATCCTCCCGGGAGCCTCGGTGGCTCTCTGCCTCGCTTCAGGCCTGGGTGGCAGGATCCACAGGGCACCTATGGCCCCCATCCCCGGGGGAGGGATGCAGAGGAGAGTTCAGAAGTTCCCAGAATGACCCTCCCTTCCAACTTCCCCACACAGAGAGAACCGAACTTACGTGCTGTCTGGGCCACCATCTAGCTAGCTGGTGCTCAGAGGGCAGCACTGAGGAATGGAGGTGAGCAGAAGGCAAGGAGGCTAGTGTATACCTCTTAGCTTCTTCCTGTGTCCCCATATTTAACCTTTTTGTGTGTCTTTAATGGCAGATGAGCCCCGGAGGCAGTGAGGGAGCCAGAGAATTTTGGGAGGGTGTTTGATTTGTGGGTCTGTGTTTCTAACCCTCTTCTCTTCTCTTCTCAGGAGGAAACTTCAGCTGCTAATGCTGGGCCCATTCCACTATGCCTTGTTAAGGATAGCCCTGGGCCTGGTGGGCCTCTTCCTCACCCCCGATGGCATCTATGACCCAGCTGATGTAAGCCAGGTGTAAGGGAACACGAGCCCCAAGACTCACTTTAGACCTCTGATGTCTGGGAACACTAACAGGAGTCTGCCTGGCACCTGTGGGTGGTGACTGTGGAAAAGCAGAGGCCCAGGAACTCTGAGGTGGGAGTCGGGGATGAGTATGTTAGAGCAGGTCTTCAGGGCCTTTCTATTATCGTTTTGGGGCTAACCTAGCAGTGCTTGGGGCCACTCCTGGTGCAGTGCTCAGTGATCCCTCTCTGCAGTGCCCAGAGGAGCATGTAGTGCCAGGAAGCAAATCCAGGGCTGCTGCATGCCAAGTCTGGGCTCAACCAACTGAATCATCTCCTTAGCCTGTTGGGGCCTTTAAAAATATCCCTAGGGCCAGAGCGATAGTACAGTAGGTAGGGCGTTTGCCTGGCACGCCACGGATTCAATCCCTGGCATCCCATATGGTTCCCCAGGCACCCAAGGAGTAACACCTGAGCATAGCTGGGTGTGACCCAAAAAGAAAAAATAAAATCCGATGTCTTTTTCTATCCTGGAGAGAAAGAAAGAAAAAAGGTTATCCTTCCTCACTCCTTTCTGGTCTGCCACCAGATCTCTGAGACAAGCACGGCTCTGTGGATAAACACTGTTCTCGGCGTGTCCACACTGTTGGCTCTCTGGTGCCTGGCCATCATCTTTCGTCAAGCCAAGCAGCACCTGGGAGAGCAGAACATAGGAGCGAAGTTTGCCATGTTCCAGGTAACTATCCCTCAGGAAAGACTGTCCTCCCGTTGTTCATCGATTTTCTAGAGTGGGCCCAGTAACGTCTCCATTGTGAGACTTGTTGCTGTGTTTGGTATATCGAATACATCATGGGTAGCTTGCCAGGCTTTGCCGTGCTGGGGGAGATACTCTCGGTAGCTTGCTGAGCTCTCCGAGAGGGGTGGAGGACCGAACCCGGCTTGGCCGGGCTCGCTGCTTGCAAGGCAAGTGCCCTACTGCTGTGCTATCACTCCAGCCCTCAGGAAAGACAAGGTGCTTAAAAGTAGAACTGTACATAATCAGGGTAAAAGGTGAGGCTTATAAAATGACTAAGAGCACTTCAGTGAATCTCCGTAAGCCCCGTGTTCCTGTGAGATTGGGAAAATAATCTTTGTCCCTTCCCAGTTTGGGCCTTTTGGCCTTGTAATAGGGTTGACCCTCTGAAGCCCCTAGGCAACAGCCATTCCTGCCTCATCCTAGTTTGAAGTTGAGGGTGGAGAGGTTTCGTGGCCAGAAGCCTAAGCACTCAGATTTCTTTTTTCTTCCCTTTTGGTTTTGGGGTCACACCCACCGGTGCTCAGGGATTACTCCTAAGTACAGAGCAGGAAGTAACCAGCTCCTGGAAATGCTCAGGGGACCATATGGGATGCCAGATATTGAACTTGGGTCCATCGCATGCAAGGCAAATGTCTTACCTGCTACACTCAAGATAGTGCTGGCCCAGCACTCAAGATTTCTGCCCTCATTGTCACATGGAATTTCTACCACTCAACTCTACCCATGTCTATGTCTTGTGTCTCTTTTCCGCCTCTTGCAAGAACAGGAATCAAAGTAGTAGCAGTCTGATTAATCTTAACTAGTCATACGTAATCAGTTAACCAAAACAAATGATGTTACTTCCAAATAAGGTCATTCTGAGGGAAGGAACATTATGACTTCTGCATGCTTTGGGGATCAAATCCAGGTTTCTTGCATGCAAAGTTTGCGCTCAGTCCATTAAGTTCTTTCTCTAGCCCTAGAGTTTACCATCTGCACCATCGTCAGCATTGAGCCAGTGACATTTAGGGCATTCTCACTGCTCTGCAACCACCTAACTCACATCTCTAGAACATCTTCATATCCAATAAAAACTGTCTCCACTGAACACCAATTACCCTTTCTTCCCTGAACCCAGCTCCTGACTTGGCAAAGATTTCTCTAAGGGCACGTAATGATGAATGAACAGTATGTCTTTTTAGGAGCATGGCTCTCAGGTATTTGAGCTACATACAGGAAATGGACTCCTTCCATTACACATCCTTATCCATTAAGTGCTCACCAGTGGTCACAGCTGAATAAGGGGATAGAAATGAACTCTTGATCAGTTCATGTTTCTTTTCAGGAACTCCCATAAAATATAGGATAGAGGATGAGACTATAACTTGCCTCAAGATGAAAACTCCACAGTTTTAACCACGTGAGTCCTACCCCCTCCATTAACTGCTTTGATACCTCTTTTCTGTCTATAGGTCCTCCTCATCCTCACTGCCCTGCAGCCTTCCATCTTCTCAGTCTTGGCCAATGGTGGACAGATTGCTTGTTCGCCTCCTTTTTCTTCTAAGATCAGGTCTCAAGGTGAGAATAATGGGGGCTGATCCCATTCCAGGATGAATAAAAGAGGGGAGGATCATGGAATAGAGAACCTGGGAACAGAGATTGGAACAGCCTGACTTTTGATGAAAATATTCAAAAAGATATTTCCAAGAACTCTTTGCAGAAGTTCTAAGGAAAGAGATGCAGTTCTTATAGTATGAAGCCAAACCCGGAAGCCTGCACTAAGCCCTTGGGAAATGAAGGTGTGAATGCTTGGAAAACAGGTCATGCTGATTTAAACAAACAAAAAATGGTTAAAAGAAATGAGGTTTCAATGCTAGCCTCAGGCTGCAGAGGGAGAGCATACCGTTCTGGTACTGGATAATGTGCTGTTACTTAGGACAACTTACTGTTGCGAGGTTGTAGATTAATGCTAAATTGGAGAATGTGTTGCTCAACCCATATGCCAGGGCTGCAAAGTGTAATTTGGAATGTATGGCTATGTATTTGTGATTATTTTGTCATCTCTGTAGCAGATAATAATCTACATTATATTTCACCCTACAATGCAGTGATGAATTGCCACCTCCTCATAGTGGAGACATTCCTGATAACAGTGCTTACACGAATGTACTACAGAAAGAAGGATGATAAGGTTGGATATGAGCCTTTCGCATCATCAGACTTACATTAGAACCTTAAAACAAGAAGTGGATAATGTGGACAATCAGAGACTCTATGCTCATTTGAGGGCACAAGATTTCTCCATTGATTTCCTCAACCTTGACAAATGGGGAAGGATTCCATTGTCAGCACCAGCTGACTTATTGCACTTGACCTCAGAGATGAAGGTGAATCATGCAACAGTTGTTTGCTGCATCCAGAGAAAGGCATTTTAAATTTTGTAATAAACATACAGGATACAGTTTGATACTCTAATAGTGAGAACATTGCTTCTGTGGGAGTAACTACTAACCCTTATAGTTTATATGTTGAAGGGCACTCTGAGCTTTTCCCAAAGCAAATAACAGGATGGGTATCAGGTATAAATATAGAAGTTTTATGGAAATCATGCTTCTGAAGAACAAATGGAAGATATTCTTCTGATAGAAGTCTCTGAAGACACTAGACCTGTATTTTGGATTAGTCTCCCTTTGTGGGTCAATGGCTTTTTGAATCTTTGGGATGAGGTTGCAGGCAGAATTATGGTTGTAGAGCTTGATTTCAACAAGACAAATCAGGAAGGAAAAATAAAGGAATTGAGAATACAGGTAAAAGTCCAAACACATGAAAAGTATCATACATATGTAGTTCAGATCAAAATCACAAGAAATAGAGCATTAGGTAAAATCACTTTGCCTTTATTTGGCTAGATGAAAAAGCCAAAATAACTGAAAAAACTAATAATACTCAGGAAATTGATACACTGAATACCGATTGAAACTGTCTCCAGGGCTTGCAGCACTGTGATGGGGCTACATCCATGCCAAGGCCCAGAATTTCTTTGCAAGATTCACTTCCTTCATAGGATTCCCCAATACAAACCAACCAAGTCAGGCTGTGCCTCCCAAAGAATGACAGGAAGCCCTCTTTAGAGGTAAAGGAACATAACCGGAGTTATCCTCATGGTACAATGGCATTTTTATCTTCTACCCCAATCTGAGTACTAATATAAAACTTTGGCAGACAGATAATCTTAAGAAAATTAAGATATATAATACCAAGAACATGTTCTAGTTATTTCAAAAAGTAGAAACGAGACCATCCTTTATCCCTTGATAATCTATGAGAGAAAAAAAAGAATCATTGTATGATTTTGAAAAATATAACCTTTAAAAATACTTATCTTGATAAGTTAAAAAAAATACGATTAGTTAAAAACATTGTTAAAGAAGCATTTTTTTCCTGCCATATTTGTTCAACTTCTGGTAACAATGTATGACAACAAAAATTAGAAATATGGCTTTTAGGGAATTAAATTACTGAAATATAATTGGTTTAAAATTTTAAACCTGGGATCTGGAACATGATTAAAACAGCAACGAGCTCCAGAAAGACAAAAACTGCCCACAAATCAAGATTACTCCAAGAGGAGTAACAAAAGCACAGTAAGAAGTCATTTCTAGAAAGAATATCCAGAGAAGGCCTGATCAACTGACAAATCAAATAAGAAAATGTCATTCAGATGCTGCTTAAGAAGTCAGCAATCACAAAAGGTCAAAATTGCTCTATCTCCTTCCCATTTTCCATTTTCTTCAGGATTTTCAATGGCCACACATCCTTAACTTTCTGACCCCAGCTGCAATATAAACGCTCCTCTAAAACTGCAACTCTGTCCTACATGTATGAAACTCTTTGTCTAATGTATGAAAAAAAACTAATTTTCTTGTGGTAACTGCAGGGCATCTCCTCATCCAGACTACAGATCTTCTTCCATTCTCCTTCCATTCTCAGAGGTCAAACAAATTTTAAGATGCTCCCATCTCAGTCACATTTGGTCTACGAGGAATGACTGCTTAATGTGTGGGATTCAGGAACAAGACCACAACTTCAAGTAGTACCATTCAGACATTTACAGATCATAGACATGGAGGGTACATGAACCTTTATTTTCATTTAGTTAGGCACAAAGGATCAATGAGCCCATCATTCCAGCAGTTTCCTCCACTCACCTATCTTTGCCCAGCACCTTGATTCCAAAGGCTCTAACATGACACATCATAAAAATTCTTGCTTTTGGTCACAATTATGTAAAATATTTTGGTATCAGAAGATGGAGGCAGGAAGGACTCACCAGAGGTGTTGGACTTTTCCAAAAATGTGCCCCCATCTTGGCCCTGGCCATCTCTCAGAGCTTATCAGCTCATAGGTAGATCATATGCCATAGGCAGTCACTGACAGTGCCAAGGACCATACAAACATTAACCCAGATAATGCACTGGAGGGAGTGACTACAGATGCCTCCCTTCCCAAAGATACTTAGAGTTGTACTATGAGGGAACAAGTAGGTGGGCATCATCAGTGACTTCACTGCCTTTCCATACCAGAGATAAGATAAGCAGAACTTTCAACAGGGGAAACAGTAGCAGGAAAGTTAAAACAAGTGATCATTTGAATCTGGGGAACGTTGGGAAATTTTAATTTCAGCTATTTCCATTCCAAGTCAAATTTAATGTAAACCAGAGTTGATAGCAAAAACCACACTTCATGAGAAAAGTTTTAGAATGGTCATTTTCCTAGGTCATCAGGACCAAAGGTAGTTCTCCTCTGTGTGTCTCTGCTGTGATTATCAGTGGGATCTGATCTTTCAAGAACCTGGGTAGTCTTGGAATACAGGCAGCATGATCAAGCCTCTGACTTCAGGTAAAAGCTGATTTCACCAGTGTGTAGGGAGGGTACCATGAAATTTCATGCTCACAGCTTTAACGAAGGGACATGGAAAATTAAAGTGTGGTTTTCTTAGCTGAAAACACTGAGACTCCACCCCCACAAGGGGTATTTATGAATGACTGGGAGAAGCTTGGATATAAGCAATGTCCTCCTGAGTCCAACTCCAGAATAATGGATGGACTATGATCTGCGAGGCTGTATAGCTGTAGGATGCTGGAGGTTTGAAGTAAGCTCATGCTCAACAGCAAGTGTGAAGAGTCAATACTCTCTAACGTGAAATTTAAGTGGTAAGTTTGCTGGGCAACCTGACAGGGGAGGTGGGACCAGCACCACCAGGCACATATGGAGAGGGAGAGAACCTATCATCCTTGTATGTGAAAACCATGCTCTATGGCCCGCTGGAGGGGCAGGAAGAGGGCAGTTTCTGTCTACAGCAACTTTCAGAGGATAAGAAGCCCATGGTACAGTGGTTTCAGCCAAGAACACTCTCAGGAGTAGAAGTCGAGATAAGGCTTCGGAAAAGGAATTTTTCCTTATGTTTTTCCATCTGTGTTTTGTGAAGAGCTCATTTTCAGTAAGGCTCTGAGCAACAAGGATGAACAGATTATGTTCAACGTCTAGACATTTATCCTTGTAAAAAGCAAGGCGAGACCCCCAAAATAAGATTAGCAGGGCCAGAGACTAAATCCAGGGATCACTAATCTAACCTGATTTAGTAATGGTATTGAGTGCTGTCCCACTCCCCTCTTCAATCAGTAACCCTGAAAATATTCATTCCTTTAAAGGCAGATTGAAGAAAAAGACTGACAAGCTCCCCAAATAATCGGGCAACAAAGTTTTCTGAGAAGACGAATATAGCTGAAAAAGAGCAGATGATGCCATGTGATCTAGTTCTATCCCCATGGGCATCTTCATGGACCCCATTGGGTCTAACAAGAAACTCCTCAGGGAGTAAAAAAATAGGCTCAGATCACCTTTCTACAGTCATATTGACACATGTCCAGCAAGTATGTTTAGGGGATTTGTGACTCAGCAGTTAGGTTTTTTTTTTAAAGGAAAACAAAAATTTGATATATTCCCTCCCAAATAATCCATCAGCATAACCCATTGGCTCATTGCTTGAAAGACTGGCCTCCACACCGAAGCAAATACTAAAAAGTACGAGGATTAAGAGGCCTCCGGGTATTATATCACTTCCTTCTGCCCACTCCTCAAGGGCAAAAAATTAGTTCTACTTACTACATTTGAAAGACTAATTTTTAAAAAAATTAATAAAAATGACAATTTCCCTGTCAAGATCACATGAACATAAACAGTAAAGCAAAGTCCTTGGGGAAGGTATATGGATGCAGAACAGGCTTCTAAGGTGTAGTCAGTCAGCCTCCATCTTGGTGTGAGAGGATGATGTCTCTTGGAGGATGGGATGTCTGGTCTTCCCATTCCTTTTGCCCCCATTGTCTTTTCTTTGTAGCTGTCCTTTTAGGTTTAGTGTTGGGATCACAATTTGGAATTCAATAGAGAGCTTCTGAAGGTGACGAGAACAGAAGGAGGGGAAATGAAAGAAGGGATGAAAAAATTAGTCTTCTTCATCCTCACTGATATCACAGGTGGCAGCCTTGCGCCTGGAAAGATTTGCTGGGGAGGAAGGCGGGGAAGTCTTGCCAGAGAATGGCCATCGGAAGGAAGGGGATGGGGAGCGTTCCCGAGTGGGGCTGCTGCTGGGACTCTGCTTTGGACTGATGGCCTGCAGCATCCGGCCTTTCCCCTCTTTCAGCATATGTTTCTGGGGAGACCAAAAGGAAGAGTTAGAGAAACGTACAGATCTTACTAAATCACCACTGAAGGATCTGAGACTTCAAATTATCACGAGTGCCCTCTGCAATGTTAAAAGTAATTCATAAACCACGTGGGGAGGGGAGACATAGCTAAAACTCTGAGCAATTGACTCTCTTGGGTGGCTTATGTCATAAGAGTTATCTGAAGGTTCTGAGCTGCCATTCAGCAAACAAATCCTTGATTTCTATGACAAAGTCATTCTTAGAAAGTTACCTGGCCTGTAGTGTAAAAAAAATAATAGGAAAAAAAAGGTAACAGAAAAGGGTACCTCTAGTTTTAAGGATCTCTGAACATTTCATATTTTCCCTCAATAATCTAATATCTAAACATCCTCACAATTAGATCCTTGACGAAACCCAAGCTGCGGCTCACCGGCTGAATACATACACACACACTTTTTATTTGGCTTGGAAAGAACCCTGTTCCTCTTCAAGGACAGAATGCCTACCTTACTCAGTAACCCTGCAGCAACTGTTTGTAGTGAGGGAAGCTTTTTTTTTTGTATCTTTTTCTTCTCCTTCTCTTCTTTTTTAAATTCTTTAACGTATAGGGTCATACCCAGCAGTGCGTGGGAACAGACACACAGGGCCAGGAACTAAACTCAGGACCTCGAACATGCTACACACGCGCTATACCACCACTTGGGCTCTTTTCCAGCTCCTCGCTCATCCTTAATGGTTCTCCAGGAAGACAGCCTCAGACATGCCAAGCATATGATTCTGCACTTGAGCTGTCTCTTTGGCCTAAGATGGTTTTTGTTTGTTTAAAATAGTAAAATAGACAGCTTTCCTTTTGTCTAAACCAATAATGTAGAAGCAAGCTGAGCAAAGCTGCCTATTTTACTTCTCTCGTCACCAGCTTTGAAGGTTGAGAGTAAATTGGGAGAGTGTGTAATATCTTTCTGTAAAACCTTAAAAAATGGGGGGGGGGGGGTATTTACTTGAAACACAGTTTTACCCAATAAGGAAAACAGACTGGACAACATTTTAAAAAAAATATGGTGCTTGGGATCAAACTTAGGGTCTCGCAGGTGAGGCATGTGCTCTATTGCTAAGCTCCATTCCTGGCTCTAGGTATCTTCACAATGTTGATGTCCCTTTCTGCTCAAGGATTCTAGAATTCTCCCCATAGCATGGAAAGTCCCTGAACTGCCCAGCAGGAAAGAACATACCAGTGCTCCTTCAGGACCAAACATTTCCAGGAAACTTCCAATGAATTCTCGGGATTTCTCCTCCCATTTCTGAATGAGGTCAATGCTTTTCTCTTCTACCTTCTGAACAAATTCTTTTGACTTTTCCTCTACATCTTTCACTTTCTTCTTAACTTTATCAACCCGCTCCTGTAAGTGGTATTTCTTCTCCTAAAGAAGTAATTGTTTTTTAAGAAATAACAGATTTCCAGAGGAAAAATAAAAAACATGACCCAAGCATTCTTTAGATTTTTGTCTTCAGATTCTTTTAGGTTTTATATATTTTTTCACTTTGTTTAAACTTTTTTCACATTTGTCTGACATAATAAACTAAATATATAAGATAGAGTCATTAGCAAGTGTGCAGCAAAAGGAAGCTGGTTTCTATCCCCACCTCCATCCTTTTTTCCCTTTATCACTGCTATTGTGATGATCAGAGGTCTCACAAACCCACACACTTAAGACATGGTGCTTCTACACATCTTTTGGCTTTGGTTCTCACACATACCTGGCTGCCATGTGGCTAGAAACTCACTGCAGAGTCAGGGTTCACAGAGAGCAGAGCTGCCGTGATTGTGCCTGAGACAGGCACTGGGCTAGAGGTCTCACTTGCAGCTCTACACTTGTATGGTGATGCTCTAAGTCACTGAGCTATCCTCCCAGGTCCCAGGAGGTCTTTTTTTTTAAGTACAAAACATAAACATGCCAAAAATGACTCAAACCCTACTCTAGTTGGAGTAACACAATCACTGCACAATACTAAGAATAATTTGGCTGAAAATGGATCTTCTACTTTATTTGCTTACTATACTGATTGCCCCTATCACTTGCTTACTCAATTATTTCAGAATACCAGAACTTGTTCCATTTTTGAGATCTGTTCTGGAGATCTGTTTGATGATTTGCAAAATGATGATGATATTCTTTGGTCCCACAAGTTTCTCTAAAGTTAAGGTAGGGGGATGAGGGGAAATTTAGCCAAATAGAAAGTATTCTTATAATTTACAGAAAACTTTTACAGGTTGTGGGAGGGGGAATAAGTATGTTTATAGCATTTTATAAAACATCCCATCATAAAGAATCTGTAGTAACAAAACACTAGTAGCTAGAGTTTAATTCATGGCAAAATTCATAGAACTGGAGCAGACGAGAGAGCAGGTAAATGACTTAAACTGTATATATAATTTTCAGTTTCTTTTATTTTTATAGGTGATAGCCCCAGTGGTGTTTGGGGGGAGGGAGGGCAACCTGGGTTATACTCAAGAGTGCTGGGAGTGGAGGTGGAAGACGGAGCCAGGGCCTGAAACTAGACAGGTATGCACTGTATACTTGAGCTAGCTCCCTGCCCTGCATTTTTCTTCTTAAACCAATTTCTTTGAGGCATCATTTAGAAACAAAATATATAGCATTTGTCTTCCAATGACAATATTAAACTAAGATAAAGACTAATTTATTAAAAAAAAAAGAATCACGGTTTTAAGTGTATCTGACATAATACTGTACAATATAAGTTACATATTCTTTTCGGAGGGGGGGCAGGGGGAGGTAGTTTGGGTAACACCTGGCAGTACTCAGGGGTTACTATGTTATACTGGGGACCAAATCCAGGTTGGTGAGCTTTCTCTCGCCCCTGTAAGTCATACATTCTTATTTATTTAACTGGCCCCAGGTCCTATAATCAATGTTTTGATACTAGACCAAAAAGGCATTCCTTCTCCTGTATATTCTCTTTGTTTTACTTTGTTCTTGCAGTATGCTGGGACTCTGAGCCCAGGATGTCACACACCAAAGACACACATATGCTTTATGGTTAAGCCATAAGCCTGGCTGTTTTAGCCTCTTTGTAAAGAGCTTAGTATACTGTTACTGCCAAAGAAGCATTCACTGAGGTTTTGGTGAGAAGGCAAAGGTATGTGTGCAGTCGTCAGGGCAGTGGGATGAGGCTGACTCACATTGATAAAGCTAACATTAAGCTCCTTGGCAGTGTAGCCTCTCTGTAGGTTCCTTCTGGCGTACACATCGTAATCCCGGACGATTCGAGTGATGATGTCTGATGTGGAGATGCCTTCTGTCCTCTGGGTTGGAGCAAACATACCTAACCCAAGAACATATACAAACAATGACTTCCTGGTTAGCTTGCACATAGGATAAGATGAAAACTGCGAAAAACAATCTTTTCTTTTCCTCAAAAAGCAGAATCTGTTACTACTGAATGAAATCTGGAGATACCAGTATACAAAAGGAAGACTAAATCAAATGAAAGGGGTAAAGAAAGGAGAAGTTATATGACTCCATTGTTGAGAAAAATAAGGGACAAGAGAAAGGTTTCCAGAAATTAAGAGAACTGTTAAAAGCAGATGTTTAGACTGAGAACTAATGAAAGTTAGTGCTATACTCACCTTACTTTAATCCAAAGTGGGACCTGAATATGTATGCTGAACTTCCTCTATATGAATTTTCGTCTATTAAGTAGCAAAGCAGTTCATGTTCTACAGCAGCTTCTATAAAGTGAGGCTCCATAAAGAAAGGATGTCCCCTGATTGACTCACCTGCTTCTTTGATGTGCTTATACACATCATCACTGCCGGCAGAAGAATATGGGATGTCGTCATGGGCTACAAAATCAATCTGAATGTAAGGAAACATTGAAAAATCAGGATAATGCCATTCAGAAACAATCAAAAAATACTCTCAGAAACAGAAAAAAAAGAAAAGCAAAACCTTTTTTCCCCCTTATCTCTCTATTTTACTTGTAAAGTTTATGATTCATTGATAAACCACCATCCCTAATTACTTTAGTATAAAGTATCATAAATTAAAATTTTCTTTTTTTCTTTTCTTTTTGGGTCACACCCAGAGATGCTCAGGGGTTCCTCCTGGCTCTGCACTAAGGAACTACTCTGGGCGGTGCTTGGAGGACCATATGGGATGCTGGGGATCGAACCCAGGTTGGCTGTGTGCAAGGCAAATACCCTGCCCACTATACTATTGCTCCAGCCCCTCAACTATTTTTCCTGACCTACTGGAAGTGTTATTCCCATTATGAACAACACAAGTCACTATGCTGAACAGGATGTGGTGAACAGAGATGAAGGTTTGCTATTGAGCTAGTCAGTGGGTGAAATCAACGAAAGAGAAAGGAAAATAAATTCCTTACCCTTCTGGGTCTGTAAGGACTTGTCAAACAAGGATTTCTAAAAGTATGAGAAAGAGGTCACTTCTGTGTTAACTGGTTCCTCCTTTAGGACAAGAGATAAGTGGGAGTATAAAAATAGTAACCAAAAACTCTTCCACTAGAATAGAATCACCTATATACCTAAGAAATGCAGAATTCAAGGTTATATATATATAGGTCTTAACTTCTATCAAATTATAGGTCTTAACTCCTATCAAATTCCTACCATTAATGCCTCTTGTAACAATGAGAAGAGATAAATGACACTGGGATAAATAATCTTTTTAGAGGCACACTAAAACTAATCTATTTCTGCATGAATAGGCAATTGGTCTTTTTCTAATTTAACTGTTAATACCACACCTAATCCCAAATTCATAGTAGTGTGAAGCATACTCTACAGGCCCACATTAGGGACTCTGTTATCACTGCAACTATCAGTAAGCAACTTGTTGGGGATCTGGAGGCAGAAAAGCAGATTAGTGGGCAAGCAAAACTTGTGGTTGAAGATATACTGCTTAACGAGGTGAAAAGGGAAACTTAAAGTTCCTCTTCTGGCCTGACTGTGTGAGAAATACCTTGTTCATCACTTTGGTATCCCTGAAGTTACCTGTTGATGTAGAAAGGCTAGAGAACTGTAAACGGCCTGCCCTAATCCTAAAAAGTTAGAACAAATCTCCTATAGACTCAGACCTACCAAATTATTGCTTTGGAAGCAATATTGACTACCTTTGTTTTCACGTGTCTTGTAGAATACAATATTCTACATAGTCCTATGAAAAGCTGACAATAACTGTGCTGATTCTTTAAGCTTAATAGCCTGGCCTGGGTATAATCAACTTTTATACCCTTCTGTTATACTAGACATGTTGCTTTATGTGGAACTATGAATAGGCAGGAAGGGTAGTACCAGCACACTAAGCAAAAGTGAGAAACCTCCCGGGTTTCCGATCCCACAAAACTCCTAGGCCAAAATCAAAGCACTGAAACTAGATATAAGTCAACACTAAAGCCATCTATGTTTTCTGTCTTATTTCCTAGATTGTGAACTCCTTGAGAAAATAGCTAGGACTACATATCTTCTAAAGATACTACCATGAGGATGGAGAAATCTACAGTGCTAGGATGTTGGGGGAGATGAGAAAGAATCACACAACAAAAAATTCCATTTCTAACCCTGTACAAAAAATTTTACCTGGACCAAGTTGTTCGGTATTTGATATTGAAGTTTTCTGGGGGGTAACTAAGGGCTATTTCTAGTTTGGTGGTAGAGGATTGCTCTTAGATGTGGGTGGGGAACTATGTGGTGCCAGAAATTGATCCTAATCCCCTAGCATGCCAAACACAAGCTATCTTCCTTGTCCCAGGTTGTTTGGTCTTTCTGGGTCTATGTAAAGCTACTGTCACAGGGTCCTTGTAGAAGCAAATTAAAAATAATGGATATGGGGCTGAAGTGGTAATACAGCAGGTAGGGTGTTTGCCTTGCATGTGGCAAAACCAAGTTCAGTCCCTGAATCCCATATGGTCTCCTGAGCACTGCCAGGAGTAATTCCTGAGTACAGAGTCAGGATTAACTCCTGAGCATCATTGGGTGTGGCCCCAAAATATAACAAAAAATCCCCCCCAAAATAATGGATATAAAAGTGTTTATAATCCTCATTACCCCAAATAAGCTTTTGGGGGGGGGGGGAACAAGTGGTAATATATCACTGCCACTGGCTCTCTGTGAGATTTATATAGAAGAGAGAAGAAAAGGAGGGTTAGTGGAAATCTTGCTCTAGAACCAGAAACTAGGAAATTGAAGGAATCATGGAACAAGGAGTCCTTGCTTTCTTACCCGGTGTTCTGCCAGGAACTCTGGTGTCAGGGTCCAGGGAGCATTCCTCACCACCTCATCCACATAGCGGCAGTGCTGCACTGCATCATAGCGCTCATTTTCATTCATCACTGTGAAGCCTTTGAAGTTGTGCGTTAGCTCATCACTGCAAACTGAGTTCATCACATCATCAAGTTAGTCAAATTGCTTTTGACTTAATTACTCCTCAGTCATCAACCTCTCCCAATTTCTAGGACTATAACCAATCTCTCCACCTGAAGAAGAATCTTCTAGAGATAGCTGTCTATAAAACAAAAACTTTTCCTAAGTCAATAAAATTAATAAAGGTGAATGATTATACGGTTATTCACATTTTGGAGAAGAAAGAAGGCAAAGTGGACACATTTTTTTGTTGTTGTTTTTTGGGTCACACTCGGTGATGCACACGGGTTACTCCTGGTTCTGTACTCAGGAATAATTTCTGGCGGTGCTCGGGGGACCTGGGAATCGAACCCAGGTTGGCTGCATGCAAGGCAAACACCCTAGCCGCTGTACTATCACTCCAGCCCCTGGACAAAATTCTTGACTGAAAAATGGACATACCATGCATCTGTGCATCAATTGTGTTTAAAAATGTCTTCCCACTCTATTTCTATAAGACTAGAAAACACATATACGTTTTCTTAGACAACTTTTCTAAGTACTTCAGTCAATTCAAAGCAAGAAACTAATATAGCATGAAAGCTTTTTTGTTTGTTTTTGGCTTTTTGGGTCACACTTGGCATTGCTCAGGAATTTTTCCTGGCAGTGCTTGTGGGACCATATGGGATGCCAGGGATCAAACCCGGGTCGATAACCTGCTGTACTATTGCTCTGGTCCCTGAAAGCTGTTTAAAAAGGAAATTAAGTGTTGTTCCTTCCCACAACAGCTGCAACTCAAGTGAAAACAGTGAAATAAATATGGCTACTTCAGGGCAGTTAGTTTGAAGCATCTCTTTTCAGGTTGAGGTTGCTAGTACCTCACAGCCTGCTTTAGAGAGCACATCCTATGCCTCATTTAAAAACCGAAAGAAAGAAAGAAAGCAAGAAAGAAAGAAAGAAGGGAAGAAAGAAAGAAGGAGCCTAAATACTCTGTTTATAAACAGGAGAGAGAACAAGGTATTATAATTTTTCTGGACAACACACATAAGTCATCTGATGTTTTCTTACCTCCTACAATGAGGTATGTATTAGGGAAAAGGTTCTTTGCTTGCATCAGAGCCCGCGCATGACCAGAATGAAATAAGTCAAATATGCCATCTGCATAAACTCTCACAGGCCGTTCACCTAAATCCACAGAAAAAATATTTACACATAAATACACAGCTTCAATATCTCATTTGACAAATGGAAATGGCAGTGTGTAAGCGTTTCTCCCATGAATATACCTCTCTTATGGGGTTCTCTGGATCTGTGGGGGATTGGGATTGTTAGGAATAACATCACAGATTTCCTTGACTAATAAAACCCTTTTTGTCATCATATATACCAACTATTTTGTTTATCAAACCGCACAGAATATTGAATTTCATAATGCTTTCTCTTAAAATTACTTTAGATGTGAAAGGAGTTACATAACAGGTACGTCCCAAACTTCAAAATTCTCACCATCAGACCAAGTTTAAACTTCAGTTACGTTTAAATAAGTAGCATAGAAACTAGCGATACAGGACAGGGGTTAAGGTGCTTGTATTATATGCAGTTACCCCTGTTTAATCCCCGACACTATATGGTCCCCAAGCACTATCAGGTGTAGCCTCAAATCCAAAAAAAATAAAAAAGGTGGTATAGTTAAATTATACTCTAAGGGTTATTTTTAAGCTTCCCTGATTAATAATAACTAATGTTTTGCTTTAGAACTTCCACCACTTCCCAGAGGTAGTGATTGAGAAAGTGGAAGGATAAATACCCGTCTATCAATTGAATGCTTCTTAGTTCCATGCATCCTAATACCTGCTCTGTAACTAAAGATGAATTCCATGAAGCATTCCCCATGAAAGTAAGAACATGTACTTTCTGGTGAAGTACAAATATTTGAGAGAACTTTAAATTAGAGCTTTTCCTCTTCTGTTGAATAACAAAAATAAAATTATGAGAACTTGATTTCAATTTAATTTTTAACTGTTGTAGAATTAAAAAGAAAAAAGAAGGGCCAAGTGACAACGGAGCAGGCAGAGCATTTGCCTTGCATGCAGCTGAGCCAGGTTCGATCCCCAGCATACTATATGGTCCCCTGAATACCGTCAGGAGTAGTTCCTGATTGCACAGCCAGGAGTAACCTGAGCATCACTGGGTGTGACCCCAAAATAAATAAATTAATTAAACTAAATTTAAAAAAAAAGAAAAAAGAAAAGATAGAGACTTAAAAAAAAAAGATAGAGCCTGGGGATTTGGCCTAGTGGTAAAGCACTTGCTTTGTAGGCATGAGGTTACTAGTCCCATCCCCAGCATGACCCTACATGCTGAGTATAATGCCAGTGGCCACTGCCTTTTATGACTTCCAGTACCATAATAAATGTATATTCTCTGGCACAAAGCAACCAAATATGAACGAGCACCATAATTTGTGACTGCTGGTGAGCACCGTAGCCAAAAGTTTCTGCTCTCATGAGCACTATAATCAATTGTTTGAAGGGGAAAGGAAGGGAAAAGAAAGGAGGGGAAGGGAATTGAAAAATAAAAATAATAATTAAAAAAAGGAACAAAAACCTTAAAACAACCTTTGGGATACAAGGCCAAATAAATACATTAAAAATAAAATTGATATTATAGCTCATTATGTGTCAGATAATAAATCTAATAAGTACTCTTTTACATTAATAAAAGATTCAATCACAGCGGCAAAAATAACAGTAAGACTATCATTCTGGATCAAAGGCGACAGAATCTCTTTAAATATGACATACTGCAGGTAGGGGTCAGATATAGCTCCCTCAAATTTTAAAAACAATGAATCAGGATTCTCAGAATCCCAGAATGTTCATCAACTTTTCTTTTCAGGTAGTCTTACCCACAAACAAGGAGTTTTTAATAAAAAAAACCATACATAGGGACCAGGGAGACAGAAAAGGAGGGTCTGGAGAAATAGTACAGTGGATAGAGTGCATGTGGCCTAACTGGTTTTGATCCTTAGCACCCATATGGTTTATCTGTGCCCTCCCAGGAGAAATCCTGAGCACAGAGACAGGGGTATGCTGTGAGCACCACTGGTGTTGCTCCAAGCACAAACCAAAAAACAACAAGAAAAGAAAGAAAGGGAAGTAAAAGTATTTGACTACTTTGACTTCCAGTGCCACATGAGGTCCCCTGAACAAGGCCAGGGAGTCATTCCTGAGCACAGAGCCATGAATAACCTGAACACTACAAGTATGGCCTAACCCTCCTCACCCCCAAAAAGAAACCATACATTTCTGATAGAAGTATAAGTACAATTTTTAAGAAGGGCAATTATACAATATCTACCAAAGGACCAAAAAAATGAACACTTAAGAGACTTTTGGCCCAGCTATTCCAATTCAACTCACAGACACACATTTAAATGTATGTGTTGGGCCAGAGCTATAGTACAGCAGATAGGGCACTTGCCTTGCATGTGGTCAACTTGGGTTCTATCCTTTGCATTCCATATTGTCCCCCTACCACTGCCAGGAGTAATTCCTGGGAGCAGAGTCAGGAGTAACCCCTGAGCACTGTCAAGTGTGGTCCCCAAACCAAAATAAATAAAATAAATGTGTGTCATTTAATTAGAATGTGGTATTTTTTATATGTAGCATAGTTGTCATGTTTTTATACTTAATGAAGCTAGAACCCAGCAAGTGTTGACAGAGCATATATTCCAAATTGTTCATTTTTTAAAATTACTTACTATATATATGTATATATAGAGAGAGAGTTAGTTTCTGTGGTTTATAATACATTAATAATGGTTTCTCATGCACATAATTCTAATACTACATGCATTACCAGTGCACCCACCATCCTTCTCTGAGGACCACAATGCCCCACCTTCTACCAGTTCAACTATGTGACTCAACTCTCCCATTAGGCTGTCTTTGGACTTTTGTTTCTATTGTTCCATAAATCTTTAAGTCTCATATATGACAGAGATCATTCTACAGTTATCCCTTTCTTTCCGACTGACTTCATGATATCCTCTTGTTCCAGAATGATTTTGTTATTTCTTAAGGGGAAGACCTAGAAGAGGTAAAAATGCATGAGTGAGGGGAGTGAACTGAGGTTTCCCTGGGCCAAGGGCCTGACTTCAGAAAAGGAGTCAACAGAGGGAAGGTACAGAGAGGATGAGCAGCTAGAGCAGTCAAAGGGCCTAAATTGAGGTCACATGACCATGAGACCACTATCAAGTAAGAGGTTGGAGGATCCGGGTCAGAGTCCTGTAGCATTCCGCGGAGGATAAAACATACAGGGCCAAGCCATGGAAAGGGCAAGAAGCCGACATCCCAGGAAGCACTGATAAGAAGGGTCTTTCTCCCACCAAGGAAGGGTGGTTATGGAAATCAGGAGGCATGTGTAGAGAAGCAGGATTGGGAAGGACTTCCACGGAGATAAAGGTAAGACCAAGTAAGGCTCCACTGCACCTGCATCATTTTTTATAGTAACAACTTTGGGAAAAGATTTCAATGGAATACTGAATATACCCTGACACATGCACTAAAGAGTGGGAGGATACATAACACAAATAGCCACTGGCTACTTATAATGGGATACCGGAGCAAGAGAAGCACATTTCACTCTAAATCCTTTCGGCAATATTTTTATTTTTGGGCTGGGGTCCAAAAAAAAAATATCCAGTGGTGCTCGGGATACTCCAGGCTCTGCACTCAGGAGTCACTCCTGAGTTTGTTTGAGGAGCCAGGGTAGCCACATGCAAGGCATGTATCCTGTCTCCTGTACCATCTATCTCTCTGGGCCTCTTTTGGTATATTATGAAATTTAGACTAAATTTTTAAATAAATATACCAATTCACTCAAAACTGAGTAATGTTATGATGGGTTTAAGAGTCAGAAAGATTATAGCTCAGGCTTGTCAACCAGACTCCTTCCTCCATAACTTTATCCTTAAGCCTTGGTTTCCTCATGTATAAAATAAAACAAAACAAAACCTGCATTTTGATTCTCTCTTCTACATCCTGTAAATCATAACTAATATGTAACTAATATACTTTTATCTCTTCTAAGACAGCTTAAAGAAATGACTTAGTATGACTCCCTCTCTCTCTTTTCTCTCTCCCCCTCACTTTTCTCCTCCCTGCACTCTCTCTCTCTCTCTCTCTCTCTCTCTCTCTCTCTCTCTCTCTCTCTCACACACACACACACACACACACACACCTGGTCCTGGAGGGGCTATGGTCTCATTTTATTTTATTCTAGAATATAAAAGTTAAGAATATTTTGTTCTTTCTTATTTACCATATAAGAAGAGCAAAGTGAGATGGAGGGAGATTTATCTCAGTAAACATATTTCTTGGGTGGTGGCAGTGACATACAACACAGCTGAGAAGGTGGCTTTTTGCCAGCAGCAGCTAATCATCCCACATCAGGCCAAGTGCTCCACCACACCCTTTCTCAAACCAACTCCAGTTGGACCACTTTACCCTCCTTAATGTTTCACCAATCTTTCAACCTCTCAATTCATTATAAGTTAACCTCAAGTCTTTGGAAACCCAGATAGGTATATTAATTTAATCAAACAACCAGAAGGGGCCACTACAGAATAAGAAAATTGGGGAAGAAAGTACAAATTAGCCCTTTTTGTCTGTTTGTTTTTTAGGTCATGCCTGACAGTACTCAGGGCTTACTCCTGACTCTGTGCTCAAGAATCATTCCTGATGATGCTCTGGAGACTATATGCAATTCTGGGGCTCAAACTGGAGCTGGCTGCATACAATTCAATCACCTAAACCTCTAAACTATCTTCTCCAATACTAAAAGAAGTCCTTTGCCCTTCTTTTATTAAATGGCTATTGGCTGGGATAACTATACTGTGATTTATATGTTTTCTCAGCAACTCCCATTCATTCTCAAAATGGTCCTGATTTGGATTACAAATTATATGGCTGCACCACTGCTGGCTAAATTACTAGCTATCCTCCTTTAAATTAAATGCCCCTGGCTTTCGATTTGCTTCTTTTGCTGTATCCTTCAAATATGGATAACCAAAATATTTTCTCTAACAAATTTCTATTGCCCTTCAGACTGTACTTTTTCTTCCCTTCTCCAGGAGATGATAAATTATGCTGATTTTTAATTTTTTCCAAAAGAGAAAATCTCACTTCTTAAGTCACATTAATTCCCCCTCAACCCCTCCCAGTTAAAAGATTTTCTCCTAGATAATACATATTTATCTCCTGTACTTAACCTTCCTAGTTAAAACCTTTGTATAAGAATGGAGAGTGGGGAGAAGGTTGGTAGGAGAGTGCGGAGGGGGGCATTCCTTGTACTCATTATTGGCTAAAAAAATTATCAGCTAAGGGTATGCAGAGCCTGGCAAGCTCCCCATGGCATATTCAATATGCCAAAAACAGTAACAAGTCTCACAATGAAGACGTTACTGGTGTCCGCTCGAGCAAATCGATGAGCAAAGGGAGGACAGTGCTACAGTGCTACAGTCCTTTTTCATCACTGGCCAAATTTTCTTATTTGGTTATTTAAGATAATGTCAAACAGAGAATGAGCTTTAGGAGAAAAATAGATTACACCAGCACATCAGACTGGTCAACTTTGTAGGGAGGTTTGTGATTATTAATTTCACCTAAAATTCATTCAGGTTTTCATTGGCCTTCTATTGCTAATAACTGATATCTATAAAAAGCAGGACCAGTCTAGGGCAAAAAGTAGCAAGGAGGAAAAATTTGTGTTGCAGTTCCAGTTCTATTACTAACACTATTTTACTATGAGAAAGTCTTCATATTTTAGTTTCTATGGGTTTAAAATCCTCATATAATGAAGAAATTATAAAGTAGATAATAGCAAGGGTTATTTTTAAAATTCCATTGTTTTAGAATTTTTCATATTTAATAAACAGTACTCATTAATCTTAAGCTTGAAAATTTGGGAATAGAACACATATCTCCAATTTTTATGTACCACAAATGGTACATAAAATGTGAATACATTAGCAGCAGGCCAAGTAAAACTAGGTGATCAGATCTGAGTGTCTGAATGTGTGTCACTATAAAGACATGCAAAGTCCCTTTCCTTTATTGGCTCTACTATCATATCTAACGTGGTCTTTGAACTGTGTGGTGGCATCTGAAATTTGACCTGCCACCTCAGACCTTGCAACGTATAGCCTCAGTTTTTCTTTGCTGTCATTTTACCTTGCCCTATCAGTCTATTACTCAAGGAAAGGTCAAACACCCCAAATCACATCATGACTGAGAAAGTTTGGGATCAACATGAACCATCTCATTTCTTAAAAGACTTTGTTTTCATAAGAAATGCCCAAGAAGTTTTTATTAATGATGTCAACTAAAACAAACTGTCTTGAACAGATGAGTACCTGTAATACATATTAATAATGTGGCCAAAATCACTGATCACCTAGTGACATAAATGACGTATAAAAAAAGAGTATGATTTTTGAAAATAATAAAGCAAATCTTAAAAGATAACCTGAAAAACTTTTAAGATAAATCTCCCAACGTGGGATATTTTTGTCCTACATCAATCAATAGTATCATATGAGGAAACTGGAGACTGTAGAAAATTTTGGATTTAATTCTGAAAGCTATTAAAATTATTATGCCCTAACATGTTAGTTAGAGCTCTGTGAAAATACACAAAAGATTATGACCAGTTCAGGTTAATGTCTTATTGTCTTCACTTTGCTATAATAACTGTGACAATACCCTAAAAACAAGTATATAATAGTAAGGAAAAGAAAAGAAATTTTATGGAGTAGAATTTACCTCCTAAATAGTACAATAAAGCTGGTGGAAGGAACCTTTCCCCCATAATCCTATATAGGAAAACTGAAGGAAGAATATGAAGAGTAAGCATGTATACCTGAATGCTGAAAACACTAGCAACATAAGAAAATAAAGATCTTTACTTACAAGGAGTTCCTTTGCTGGCTTCTTCCATAGTTACCCTGACATAGGGCTTATTAAAGTCTACTTCAATTTCGTCAGAAAAAGGAGCTGGTTGTCGTAAGCCCTTAAAGGATGAAAGTGAAAAGAAGAAAAAAAAAGTCAAATTCCAGGGATAAACTGACTTATGTTTTAAGGAACAATCAATTATTAAATATGCTATAATTAAACCTTATCCTACAAGGCAGATACAACTAGATACTTGGGTTATGGCACAAAAGAGGAAACTGAGGTATACAGATGTTCAGTAATTTGTCCATGGTACTGAAGGTAGTAAATATCAGATGTAGGGTTGGACTGAGGAAATTTTGATTTCAGGCCCATTTTCCCTCCCTCCCCTCCCTCCCTCCTTCCTTCTTAGTGAATCGTCTTGAGGTACAGTTACAGACTTAAAAACTTCCGTGCTTGCATTTGTCATACAATGGTTGAGTATCCATCCCTCCACCAGTGCTCATTTTCTACCACCAATGGTACCAGCATCCCTCCCACCATCCTCACCCTGTCCCCCCTCCCCGCACCCCGCCTCTGTGGCAGGGCACACCCTTTTGCTCTCTCTCTCTCCTTTTGGGTGTCGTGGTTTGCAATAGAAGTATTAAGTGGTCGTCATGTTCGGTCTATATTCTGGTTTCCGGGTGCATCTCAAAGGCCCATTATCTTTTCTTTTCTTTCTTCCTTCTTCTCTTTCTTTTTTAAGTAGCCTTATTTTCATTATTTATTTATTTATTTATTTGAATCACTGTAAGATACAGATACAACGCTGTTGACTGGTTTCAATCATACAGTGTTTCAACAACCATCCCTCCACTAGTGTACATTTCCTACCACCCGTGTCCTCAGTTTCTCTCCTGCCACCATCCTCTCCTCTTTTAGGCATTATGGTTTGCAATACTGATACTGAGAGGTTATCATACTTGTTCCTTTACCCACTTTCAGCACACAGTTCTGAAAAATGTGTAATTGTGCACTCCTATTACAGAAATGTATTATTATTTTATACATTTATATGATATATTAATATTTATATTGTTATAAACCGTACAGTGTTTACAATGTTTATAAAACTCTGACTGTAAAAGAGAAAGTGTCTCAATGGATGTACAGTCCAGAGTGATCATTTCCAACTATCATTGTCATAGTGGTCTCTTCTCTGTCCTAACAGCCCTCCCCCACCTCGCACCTCGCCCTTACTTGTGGCAAGCTTCCTACCACAGATCATTCTCCTGGTCCTTGTTTGGGTATTAGTCTCATACTATGTTTTTTTATATCTCACAAATGAGAGCAATAATTCTGTCTGTCCCTCTCCCCCAACTCATTTCATTTAGCATAATAATCTCCATGCCCATCTATTTATAAGGAAATTTCATGACTTCATTTTTCCTGGTGGATACATAGTATCCACTGTGTAGATGTACCTGTCACTGTCACTGTCCTCCCGTTGTTCATCGATTTTCTCAAGCGGGCCCAGTAACGTCTCCATCGTGAGACTTTGTTGTTACTGCGTTTGGCATATCGAATACATCACGGGGAGCTTGCCAGGCTCTGCCTTGCAGGCGAGATACTCTCGGTAGCTTGCCAGGCTCTCCGAGAGGGGCGGAGGAATCGAACTAGGGTCGGCCATGTTGGCTGCGTGCAAGGTAAATGCCCTACCGCTGTGCTATCTAGTTTCTTTTTCCACTCATTTGTTCTCAGGCACTATTTTATCTCCAAATTCTGTCTATTGTGAACAGTGCTGCAATAAACATCAAAGTGCAGACTGCAGTTCTGCACTGTGTTTTTGGGTGCCTTGGTATATTCCCAGGAGTGGTATTGTGGGGTCAGATGGAAGTTCAATTCCTAGTTTTTTGAGGAATGTCCAGATTGTTTTCAAAAAAGGCTGAATCAGTAGACATTCCCATAAAAAATGAATGAGTCTCTTTCGCCAACACTGGTTCTTCTTGATCTTTTTGATGTATGCCAATCTCTGTGATGTGAGAAGATATCTCATTGTTGTTTGATTTGCATCTCCCTGATGGTTAGTGATATACAGCATTTTTTATGTGTTTTTTGGTCATTAGTATTTCTTTCTGAGGAAGTTTCTATTCATTTCCCCATTTTTTGATGGGGTTGAATGCTTTTTTCTTGTAAAGTTCTACCAATGTCTTCTATATCTTTGATATTAACCCCTTATCGGATGGGTAAATAATATTTCTCATCCCACAGGCCATCTTTGCATCTTGGTCGTTTTCTTTGAGATTTCACCTCTTGTATTAATTCCAAGGTACTTCATTTTCTGAGACACAATTGTGAATAGTAAATTTTAATTTCTCTTTTATTGCATGTAAGAAAGCCATGGATTATTGTGCATTGATTTTGTAATCTGCCACTTTATTGTACAGGTTTATTGTTTCTAGGAGCTTTTGTGGTGTAATCTTTGGAACTTTTAAAGAATAGTATCATGTCATCTGCATAAAGTGAGAATTTAACTTTCTCCTTTCCAATCTGGATGTCCTTGATTTCTCTTATCTAAATGCTAGGGCAAGAGCTTTTAATAGCATACTGAATAGCAGTGGTCAAAGCAGGCAAACTTTTCTCATGCCTGATCATAAAGGAAAGGCTTCCAGCTTTTTTTAGTTTGTTTTTGAGCTATACTTGGCTGTCCTCAGGGCTTACTTCTGGTTCTTCACTCAGAGATCACTCCTGTTGGGGTTCTGGGGGCCATACAGGGTGCCGGGGATCAAACCCAAGTTGGCCGTGGTTCCTGATAGCTTTTACTTAATTTTGGCTTTTGGACCACACCTGGCACTGCTCAGGGTCCACTCCTGGCTGATTCCACACTCCTGGAGGAGCTCCAGGACCATATGGGATGGTGAGAATCAAACCCAATTTGGTTTTGTGTAAGGCAAGTCCCCTATCTGCTATAACATCTCTCTAGCCCATTGAGTGTGGTGTTAGCTGTGGGCTTTTGATAAATGGCAGGCATTTTACACCCCCCTTCCTCTCTGTCTCTGTCTGTCTGTCTGTCTGTCTCTCTCTCTCTCTCTCTCTCACACACACACACACACACACACACACACACACACACACACACACACACTTTTCCCCCCCTTTTAGAACCTTTGGTTTACAATGTTGTTACTGACTGATGTCTGTTACTGATGCATGTCACTTTACCTCCTTTCAGAACTTTTAAACATCTTTCAGCAGAAAGTTTCAGAATGTCACACAGAAGTATTTACCTTTCCCCCAACCATTATGTATCAATGGTTATGGGTTTTGCTGAAATTAAAAAATATATTAATAATGCCAGGGGAAAGTCTAGAGTGAAGAGAAATATTATGTAGTATAAGAAAGAAGAAATAATGAATAGAACAGAGAAATTCTATCCCATGGTGAAAGAGGTGAGGAAGGTAAAGAGGGAGGGAGGAAGGAAATAAGGGAAGAAAGAAGAGGAGAGAAGGGAAGAAAGAAGGAAGGAAGGAAGGAAGGAAGGAAGGAAGGAAGGAAGTGATTTTTTCTGATTCCTACTGTCATTTCAGTGACAGAACTTATACCTTCAAAGCAGAACTTATACCAAACTCATTTCTTTCCTCCCAAACCAGCTGTTCCTTGAGTGTTGCTGTTTTTTGTTTTCTATTTCTGAGTCACACTGGTAGTGTTTAGGGTCACCTCTGGTGGTGCTTGGGGAATACGTGGTATCAGGATTGACCCCTGGAGTCCCATACAGGCCTTGGAGCCATCTCCTCGGCTGCCCTTCTGAGTTTTTAATTTGAATAAACAGATAACAACCTAAGATGAAACAGACTTAAACAACTCTCATCCTCTGCATCCTAATTTTAAATAAGTGTCAATTCTCTCTCTCCCTTTCCCTTGCCATTCCATTCCTCTTCCCCACTTCTCCCCTTCTCCTCATTTCTCTCTCCCCCTCTCTGTGGCACTAGAAAACAAATCCAGGCTGAGCCACACCCCTGACTCCAAGAACTCTTTTTTTTGGGCTATTATTTGCTTTGTTTTGGAGCCACACCCAGCGATGCTCAGGGGTTATTCCTGGCTCTGTACTCAGAAATCACTCCTAGGGGCCCTGGGGGAGCATATAAGATGCTGGGGATAAACTTCGGCATACAAGGCAAGCACCCTATTCACTGTGCTAGCTCTCCAGCCCACAAGAATTGTCTTTTATCTCCTAGAAACTTAAAATTTGGAACGGAGAGATAGCTTAAGAGCTTCAGCACATATTCTGAATTCAGGAAGCCCAGGTTTGGTCTCATGTTCTCTTCATGCCAGGAGCTAATGCCAAGCTTTGAGCATGCCTGTGAGTATGGTCCAAAAACTGAAAACAGGACAAACAAATAGAAAACCTTAAAATTTATCTTGCTCTATTTCTATTGTCTTAGTTAAAATCCTCATCATCTCCAACCTGGCTCATTACAATATCATAACTAGTCCACTGGTTTCTGTTTATCCTGTTTCATGTGATTATTTCTGGCACAGCGGGTAGGGCATCTGCCTTGCACGCAGCCAACATGGCCGACCCGAGTTCGATTCCTCCGCCCCTCTCGGAGAGCCTGGCAAGCTACCGAGAGTATCTCGTCCGCACGGCAGAGCCTGGCAAGCCACCTGTGACGTATTCGATATGCCAGACACAGTAACAACAAAGTCTCCAATGGAGACGTTACTGGGCCCGCTCGAGCAAATCGATGATCAACGGGAGGGCCTTTACTTTACTTTTTACTTTTAATCTTCCTAAATTGCAGATAGGATCACATTACTTGTAGTATAAAGTTCAAATTCCTTTGCACAGCCAAAACCAAACAAACAGAAAGGGTCAGAGATATAGTACAAGGGTTAACATACTTTGTTTGCATGTGGCCAATCCAGGTGCAATCCTCAGCACTAGATACAGTCCCCTGATCACCACCAGGAGTGGCTTCTGAGCACATTCAGGAGTAATCCCTAAGTACCACAGGGCTTAACTCAAAAACAAAACAGAACAAATTAAAGACAATGCTTACTTTATCTATAGCAGATTCTTTCTCCCAAGATATGGTTTTTGGATCACACCCAATAGTGCTCAAGAGTAACTTATGACAT